GTTTGGTTAGAGATAACAGGCAAGTTTCTTTCGAGAGATAAAGTAAACAAGTTTCGGCGGACGATCATCGAAGTCGACAGCGTGTAACGTGTTAATTGTCGATCGACCGAGCCGAGGCCAAATATCCGGGTCAATTGGCAACGCTCGGCCAAGAATCCGTGTATTCTGCGCCCCGAGCTTTTCAGCTTTTCGCTGCGTCCAATCGGTCGAAACGTTGCGCCCATCATCGTTACCTCCTCCACCAGATTTTACTATAATAGAGCTTTCCATATTTCGCGCCAAATATCACAAAATTTAAAAAAAATTTTGCAATCTTCTTGATTGAATTGAAAAGGTGTTGAATAAAAATTTAGAAACGCAAAAAATTCCAAGAATAAATATGAAAAATTACGAACGAATGGTGCAATGAAAATAGTCTAAATCGTTTCACATCATCGACAAGTTTATATTGGGAATATTCGAAAATTAGAGATATATCGGATTCGAATTAAATTCAGTCAATTTTTTTAACAATTCATATTTTTAACTGTTTCATAATATAAATTGAATATAGATTTTTAATTATCTCCTGTCTATATATGTGTATGTGCATAATATATTGTTGATGAAAAATCAATGGAATATTATTTATATCTTGATTAATTAACTAATTTTAGGGCGGAACAGGAAATTTTCAAGCGTGTTTCGAAACTTGAATGTATATATATATATATATTATATATATAGTAATTCATGGTATCACAGCACGTCGAGTGAAGTTGAAGCCAAACTGTACTTCGCTCGCCTCGTTTCAAAATGTACTACATGTCCTAGAGCGAAATAAATAACCCCTACTGTATCATGTATGGCCGTTAACCTCCTTGCGATGAAATACACGTATGTACGTGCGCATTCGTTCCTTTCAGGCTGGCGGACACGCACGATTTTCAAAACTTGATGTGTCTCCCTCCATTCAATTTTTCAACGATGAACCAAATGAGTCCAGAATTTTTGAATTTTGTTTGAACTTTTTTATCGCGCAAAATGATGGATCTTGTAATATTTTTGTGCAGAAATTTCGAGTTTATTATTAGGTCAGGTGATGAATGGAACGGATATTTATTCGAGAATTAGAGACAAATTAAATTTAGCCAGTTTGAATTAAATTTGAAATACTGTGAAAAAATAGAGATAGACTAATCTGGTTTGACACGAATCGAAGAGTCAGTTATGCTAGGAAAGGATAGAAGTAGGAATTTAGAAAAATTTTATGAATGGTGCAATGAGAAATTTATGTTGGAATATTCGAAAATTAGAGATATATATCAGATTCGAATTAAATTCAGTCAATTTGGTTCAAATTAATCGTACTTTGTTAATTCATAATTGAATGTTGGATAGAAATTTAGAAATTTAGAGTATCTTAAGAATAAATTTGAAAAATTAATTATTTGACATCCAATTTATTCCAGTTTTTGTTAGGAAGGGATATTCGAAAATTAGAGATATATCAACTCGAATTAAGTTTAGATTAATCATGTCGATAAGTTCATCAATTCAGAGGATGTTGAATAGAAATTTAGAAACGCAAGAATAAATTTGAAAAACTACGAATAAATGCAATAAAACAGACTAATCGTTTGAATTCAAAAAATTTATCAAATTCCGTTCAAGTTTAATCGACTTAGTTTAATTAATAACTTGATAAATTGGATAGAAACGCGAACATTTCTAAGAATAAATTTGAAAAACTACGAACCAAAGAAAATTGTTTTTCTGCTCTACTGTTACGTAAACCTAGCCCTCTGTTTTCACCATTAAAATTCTCTCCGAATTTAACGCAAAAAACCGAACACGGTACAACATCACCACTATCACCACCACAATTCCACCACGTTACAATCTCCCAATTTCCTTCTGCTGCATTCCCTTACAAGGAGGATCTAGAAAGTTCAACACGTGTCCCTCGAATGGAATTTCGCCGCGAGAGAATACGAAATTCCCTTCCTCGAAGAAGAAAAAGAAAAAGAAGACGCGTATAATCGTTGCACGATGCGGGGGGATATCGAGGATTCGAATCCTTCACACTCGGCTCGTTTCACGACGGAAACGCCATCTAGCGACACGTCCGTCGCGACCAACCGAAATTACAGGCTCCAACGTCAGAAATAACGTATATTATAGCGCCACTCCTCAATCTCCACTTGGAATACCACTCTCTGCTAACCTCCGTGCACGTACGATCGTAACGCCAGAGTTTTAACGCGTTAACGAAATATTCGAGAATTTCGAGAATTACTTTAAGTAATTGCTTGTTAAAATGTTCGAATAATATTTGTTCGTTTATAGATATTATAATCGCGCTTCACTTTCACATATATAATCCTCGTTCGATATTACGATTTCAATTATCGAGGTAAAATGAATTATGCGTTGATTGTAACCGAGGAAATGAAAAAAATCGACGAAATAATTGATTTTTTTTTTTCGATTTGTTCGTCGATTATCCATTGAATAATCCATCCGTTAGATCGTGTCGTTATTTATAGACGCGTATTTTGATATATTGATCGTTAATTCTATTGGATAATATTGTCATCACTGTTAAATTAATAGGTTTATCAGAGAAATAAATAGATGGGTATCGTTGACATCGGGTTATTTAAATGGGCTATCGATATCAACGAATTCTATTAATTTATGTATTAACGTTAATAATAATCGACAGGCGCGATTTAATTAAATCGTCGCTTCCTCGTCGAATGAATTTGCCGATAATAACACACGCACGAAGGTTAGGAGAAAGAGATGCACAGGAAAGATAGGAAAGTAAGATTGACCCGATTCCCCCGATCCAATTGGCGAGAATTTAGTTTATCGTTTGTATCCCCCGTGAACGTTGCGTCGGGGTTAGTTCCGGTGGCCTTGATCCGATGTCATCTTCCTATTCCCGACCATGTTGGCAAACGCTATTACGTGATATCGCGCCGGCTGCGAATCGTGGGTCGATTCAATTAACCGAAGAACTTGCATTCCCGTCCAAGTTTCGAGCAAGGTCGCTCGCCAATTTGTTCGAAAAGATTTCCATTCCCGTTTCCTCTCTCTTCTATTGTTTCCATTTCCAACGACAATTTCTCGTCCCAGATGCGAAACAATCTTTTCTTCTACTTCTACTTCGCCGCGTAGAGCTTCGATTCCAATCAAATTCACCGGATGGAAATTTTACGGAAACTTTCGATTCGATTAGGTTAGGTTAACGTTCGATCCGTCGTTACATTCCTGTCAACACGATTAAATAAATAAAGTTCGAAAGTAACGAAGAATCCGGGAGGTGGGGTGTAGGAGGAGGAGGAGAAGGAAGGAGAGAGATCGTTGCACTTTTTGAAACTCGAAACGCGAGGGATTTGCGGGATAAAATACGACGCGATATCTCCGATCGTGCGGAGGACTGCCGTAGGCGCCACTTTTCGAGAAGCTCTCTCGTCACGGTGGCACCACAGTCGCACTCCTTCTCTCTTTATCGCGATTTCTCCTTCTCCTTGGGGAAAAATTACGTAGCTCGCGTTTTTTGGAATATGACACGACGTGGCACAACTCGAGAGAGAAAATAAATCGCTATCGTCCCGTTTCCACTACAGTGTCGTCATCCATGTTTCTTTTATCGTATATTCACGAGAAAAGAACAAAGTTTCGATTAATAATTAAGAAACGAGAAATAAAATTCTCGTGGATCCTTTCTTCGAATAATTTTCGTTCTTTTTATTTTTTTTTCTTTTTCTTCATTCGCTTCTTTTATCACAGATCGATCCAAGTTTGTATTTCCGTCCCTCTGTAGATTGTCTAACCGGAACCAAAGGATTTCTATCGTTCCCCAGAAGAACTTTATAATTCCCAGAGTTAGAGAAAAAGCCGAGGATTATTTTCATTCGCGCTTTTTCTTCTTCTTTTTTTTTTTCCGTTTCAAAAGTCCTTTTTAAAAGGATATTCTCCCTCCGTGCAAGAGACTATTCCCTATCGTTACCCACAGGATCCATTCTAGCCGAGATAAATCGGGCTGAGTTATACGGTAACCAGAGTTTTACCACGATAAATTTCGACGATTAAGAGTTATCGGGAAAATTAACATTTTCGAATCTTCTTCGGAAATTAGATAGGGGAATTTTTATGGAAAAGTTGGCCGAATTTCATTAACGATCGAGAGAGTTAATTCGGCCGCGTGCGAAACGATGGAAACGTGGAATTTAAACGGGCCTCGCCACAGTGGTTCGAATAATAGGAGCTAACTGGACGAAATTATTTTTTTTTTCTTTCTCAGCTTATACGGGGAAATTTAATTTTTAGAGAACGACGCCGCTTTTTATCGTAATTTAATATTTCGTTAAAAATGTATATATGATATAAAAATATATATATATAAATATACAAATATTTGTGAATCCTTAAATAACGCACGAAATATCTAGCAGGCAATTAGAAAGCGCTTCGAATTTGACAAATCGAAAATTGAAAATTGGTATTCTAAGGAAACGGATGTTAAGGAAAAAATTAAAAAAAGAAATTATGCTATCCTATAAATTAACTATAATAGATATGTGTCAGATATGGGCCTGAATGGTGATAATTTAACGAAATAACAATAAAAATGATAAAACTGAAAGAGATTATAGGAGAAACAATCCATGGTTTAAATATTTCCGTTTGTTTGCGCTCGAACGATTACAATCGGATCTCGGAACGATGATTTATGCATCGATCCTTGTATTAATATTTTCATTAACGAAAAGTGAAGATTAATTAGAACCGTGGCCAATTCATCAATGTTTCCAAATATATGGTATTCAAGCGTCGCGTCTCGCGTTTTGCACTCGATCAATCTTCATTAATTATGCCATCAATTTACATCGTCGGTTACGTTACGTATCGTATTAGTTTATGAATAATTAATCCTCCCCTTGAATATCTTTACTTTCGAACTAATCGTCCTTTGAAAAAAGTGTATATATATATATATACTAAAATTGGAACGATACAGAGATTAGCATACATGACACGCTAAAATTATGAAACGATTTACATTTTTTATCCTTTTCCCAAAGATCTATTTATCCTATGAGAATTTCTCCCATGTTAATATATATATATAAATAATTATATTTTTTTTATTTATTATATATATATTTATTCTTTTTGATAAAATTTTATCAGATTTTATGATTTTTTAGCTTATTCTTTAAAATTAATTTCTAATGTAATCATTCATGACAATTGTCAAGATCATTGAAGATATTCAGAGAATTCAAGGAATTATCCAAACTTAATAATGTGTGTGTGTGTGTGTG